GTGCGCATGCGCGCGGCACGCGCGCTCCCGGGACGGGCCAACGGGCACGCGGGCGGACTCCTTCATGCGCATGCAGACTGGGCCGGCGCAGCCCACGAACCTCATGCGCATGCCTCGAAGCGCGCCCTCGCTCTGGCCTTTAAAAGCCCTCCTCCTGCGCATGCCCAGACTGGGGCCTGCGTGTGTGCCCGACCTGCATGCGCATAGGTGGCACCGCCCCCAAGCCCCACCTCTGCCTGCTAGTGCGCATGCCTGCTGACGCTGCCCCGTTAAGGTGGAGCGTGCAGAGGCGCGGCCTTCCCTAGAGTGCAGGCACGCGGAGTGTGGGCAGACGTCCTTAACGAGCAGCCGCGTACGCGTCCTGGAAGCGGAAGCGCGCCGTGGGGGGTGGGTGGGCCGTGAGAGCGAGTGGTGACGTTTCGCTGCCGCGGCGGCCGTTGGTACCGTTGGCGCCGTTGGCGGCGGGGGCGGCTCGCGGGCCCCGCGCTGCGCTCCCGGTGAGTGCCCGCGCCGAGGGGCCGCGGCCCCGGCGCCTCCCGCTGATTCTGGTGCTTTACRAGGCTTTGATGCGCTAGGGAAGCGGCGCGGGTTAAAGCGCCGGAGCGACTCACGCCTCTCGGTGCGGTGTTTTTTTCTTGTGTGCTCACAGCGGTTGGACTGCAGCAGCGCAGAGTGCTCGGGCATGCTCTGAACTGAGCTTTTAGACATCAGAGGAGGAAGGGGCTGCCCTAGCTGCAGTCGAAAGTTCTCAGTAAGTGGGTAAAATTAATAGTTAATGATACAACTATCTTGCAGGCAAAGTTCATCCTAAAGGATAGGTTTTTTCTAGGGACGGAGAGGAGGTATTAAATATCAGTAATGCCTAACGATCATGTGTGTCTCTCTAGAATCATTAGTGCATGCAGCCTACACGAGCTGTAACATATTTGAGTATAAGCATTTGCATCACTTGCTACAACTGAGACCAGTGTTTAGGTTGATTTTGCATCTTAGTGAAGTTTCTGGGGGTTTGTTCTGCCCCCATACTGGAGAGCTTAGAGTGGCTGCCTCTTCTTCTTTCATCAAGGTTTGTTTGTTTTTTGAATCTGGCAGTTCCATGTCAGCATTAACGCTCAACTAAGCAAAGCACCCAGAAGGTCAGCTTGCAAGAAAGACATGTTTTAGTTAGTGTACTATGTATTTTTTGTTTGTTTATGAGCATATGGCAAGCCTTTTTTAGAGCTTGTAGTGCTGGTAGCAGATATCCGTGAGTGTGATAGAGAGTTTTCTTCCATCCTGTCTTGTTCCTAGTCTCCTTTCCCAAGCTGGTGAAAGTTTAGTGTAGCTAATGACATGTTCATTTTATTAAGTGGGCCAGGCTTTCTTGTCTTGTCTTTTTTCTTCCCTTTCCACTTTTTTTAAGTCAGCTACTTTCGTTATAGGAGCTTTAGTTTTATTTGTGCATTTGTTTGCTTTCTATTCTGAAAGCAACAGCTTAAATCTGAATTCTTTTGTTTGCAGAGGGGTGGTTTCAGTCAGGTGTGAGAAACCAGCTGTGAAGTTAAACAGCAGGTTAGACTGAGGAGCTCTGTTTCAGCAGCAACTATTTCACCAAGACTTTTGTGCTCTGCGGACAGTTTAGTTTGACCATTTTCAGAGTTCTAGTTTGCTTTTCTGTCGAATGTTCTTTTAAGTTATATGGTCATCTTGCATAGGCTTTATCTTAATTTTTCTACTCATTTCTTTCTGTCTTTCTTAATGACTCCCTCCCATCTTCTTTGTCACTTAAGTCTAATTTGAGCATTACTATCACTGCTATGTTTGTTTCTTTAAGATTATTGTTAAAATAAGATGTTTATTTTCTTTTGTCTACCGGTGAAGTTCTTGTGTAGCTAATCCATACTGCTGTGTATTGGTTATTGCATCATCTTTTTCTTGCTTCCCATGAAACAGCTATACGGCTGAAAGGAGGGTGAGTGTTTTCATGTGTTACGAGTTCCCTTCAGGACTGTGGTTGTTCTCACTCTGAGTTAAGGCATAGTTTGAGCTGGTATGGAAAAAATTATCTGCAATGAACAAAACCCGAGCTCTTATGAGAGAGAATGCTAAAGTAGAATATGAAATTTACGCACTAAAAATTCAGGAGTGTTGATAGAGTTATCGAAATGAGAGATCTGCTTTGATTTCTAATAGGACAGATAAATAGAACTGGTCAGTAATGTTCAGCCATTTGTGTTGCCTCTGATCATATTGCCTCTGCAGAATGCAGCGATTGTGAGCTATCCTGTTTGATTTCCTTATGTCATGGAGCACATTGCTGATAAGAAGATAAAAAGCAATTAACATTCTCTCTGGAAATCTATCTGGATTGTATTTTTGTGGTGAAATGAATGCACATGTATCCCATACAGTAAAATGTTTCCTAGTTGCAGTATGTTATTTCTAGCTTTAAGTAGGCCACCAGAATAACCTAAAATTAACTTCAGATCATATTTGCTGAAAATAACTGTTTAAAAAAAGTTCAGCTTCTGAGCAGCACTTGACAGGGGTAGCAGGTTTCTTAATCCAAAACATACTGAAATAATGCATTTGAGAAGGTATGGCTTAAACTATTTTAAAAAATGTTTTTTAAATGTTTTCCAGGTTCCTTCGAGTTGTACTTGAAGCCGCCAAAATGGTGCTAGCAGATCTTGGAAGGAAAATAACGTCAGCATTGCGCTCGCTGAGCAATGCAACAATTATCAATGAAGAGGTGTGTAATCTGCATATGTGATTGCAATATGATATTTAGAAAGCAGAAATGCTGACAGGCAAGGCTAATTGTGCTCTCCGCACTACGTTAATGAGAAATTGAAGTAGATTGATGTCATTTTTTAAATCTCCTCTTTCTATAGGTATCCTCTTTCTAGATGAAGATTTGTAGTTAATATTGTGAAAACTTAACTAATTTGTCTTGTGCTGTCTCAGGCATGGTGGATCCCAATCCTAGAGCCTGATGGCTGGGTGGTTGGAGAGCCTATAAATGAAAATCTGCACCTAGGTTTGGGCAGAGCGTAGGCTGTAAGACCACATTGAGATCTGAGACTTGTGTTATGTGGATGTGTTATACGCTAGCAGGAGTTTAAGTCGTCAGAGAAAATGCAGCTTTTGGTGTAAACTTTTCCCTGTGATATATAATGTGTGTTTAATTTGTAGCTTTGATTATATGTTGATTTGACTTTTGTACATTGAACACTCTCAAGATAGACCATACACTGTGTTGTAAAACTCTCTCTCTCTTGTACTTCAAAGGTTTTAAATGCTATGTTAAAAGAAGTATGTACAGCATTACTGGAAGCTGATGTTAATATCAAACTAGTTAAGCAGCTCAGAGAAAATGTCAAGTAAGTAAAATAATGAATTTGAATTTTAAAGTTTGTAAAAGTTATAGTTTGAGATCACCGAACATTAACAGTTGTATCAAAAGAATCTTTCTCCTAAAGAAAATCAGCCTGTTTATTGCTGTTATTTTCATATCTTAGGGGGAAAAATGTTGCCATCCATGAGTGGTGTTATGGATGGGCAATTTTAGATGCTTCATCTTTGCATGTTCTGTGCAGCATATAACCTGTCTGCACATATGACCAATACTGCTACCCTGACTATTTTCAGATATGTAATGCAAGTAGAGGCCAATCTGAAACATTACGTCTTAAAAATATACTCTATGTGAAAAGCATCAAGGCAAATCAGAGTGCTGCTCCAGTTGCAAAGAATTAATATATTTTTAGCTTGAAGATGTGCTTTAAGATATGTAGTGTTTCATGGCTTTGGTTTTATTAAAACCATTTCTTGAACTCAGGTCTGCAATTGATCTTGAAGAGATGGCATCTGGCCTCAACAAAAGGAAAATGATTCAGCATGCTGTCTTTAAGGAACTCGTTAAGGTAGGAGTTTGAAATTCTGTGTTACATCACTTGTTTGTACAGCCTGAGCTATAGAGGCAGTACAATAGCAAGCCAAATTTTGAGATTCTAATACCTGATCTACAGTCATAGGTGTATGACTGACTGACTGGGTGGTTGTGTGTCCTATTCTAAAGGTATTCCAGAGCTGCAAAAAAGTGGGGTTTTTTTTTTGTTTTTTTCCCCCCCCTCTCTCTTTGACTGAAACTTTGCTAGCYGGATGTCTTTAACCTCAATTAAGCTTTTGAGCAAGTGGAGCTTAGATGGGAAAAGGGAAAAGCACTAATAGCTTTCTCTATGAGAAGTTTTCTGGTTTGGAGGGTAAGAAGATTTTTTTTCTTTCTTCTTTGTCTACTTAATCAAGTCAGAGCCTGGGTGTCCTCTTTCCAAATCATGGAATAGATCTTTATTCTTTTGGAATCTGTACTAGTCCAAAACAGCTCTCTGGAATGTAGGTACCTTCTACTTGTGGAAGACATGAGACAGCCTTATAGTCAGTGTGGTACTCGAGGGCTCTCGGCAGAAGAGGTCCATCTGGGACACTGATAGTGGAGTGGAGGTCATACATATTCTTATATGTTGTTTGGAATGTGTGTGACCTATATAGAAGCAACCCCAACTTTTGTGCTTGGCTTTAGAAAGAAGCTAATACTGTTAGTGTTGAAGAGTGATTATGTATGGTGCTATATGTTATATAGATTGCTTGCACAGGCTATTACACTTAACAGTAAATCAGCAAGTGTCTAAGATAAATTAGCGTAGAGTATGGAAAAATCATTTACCCCATTAAAAATAAAACCAGACACCTAGTATAGCCACATGTGACGCTAACAATACTGTGCTTCCTAAGTTCAGTTCTGTAATGTATATTGTGCTTTGTCTTGTAGCTTGTGGATCCTGGAGTCAAAGCATGGACACCTACCAAAGGAAAACAGAACATTATAATGTTTGTTGGGTTGCAGGGAAGTGGTAAAACAACAACCTGTTCAAAGGTAACTTTCCATAATTTTTGTTTATTTTTGGTTTGATTTGTTTTGCATTTTTCATTAAGCCCTTTGGTAGGACTTCTCTTACGCTGTATTGGTAAAGTGACAATTGCTTACAACACAGCATTTTCTGAGACAAGAGCTGAATGTCCAAAGCAGTGTTCTTTTGGGACAATTTAGGGCTTGTAGGTCTTGCTTCAAGATTGTTTCTTTGTTTAACTGAACACTTGATGAAACAATATTGTATATGGAAAACAAAGAGTCTGTCTGTTTCTTACTTCTTGGATTTAATGCAAGGACTGTGTATGGAGTCAGTCTCATTCTGTTAGCTAGTTAATGGAACCAGTGAAAATTGGCCTCTGTGAGTGCCTCAGGTAAATATGAGTAGATGGTGGGAGAACTTTTTCAGCCCTCACCTCAGTGAGAAAAATTAGATCCATGTTTTTAAAGTTAAAATGAGTGCCTTGAATCAAGGTTTACCCTGATTACAGTGATTGTTGGGAAGTAAAATCATATGGAAAAGATGATTTAATTCATCTTTGCATGTTTTTAAATCATAGTCTTTCAGATTCATATGCCTATTCATATCCATGTTCTAATTTCGTAAGCATTTGCTCATGCTGCAGTAGACAAACCATATTTTGAAATTTAAACAATATTTAAATGTGTGACTCAAATGTTCTCTGAGTGTGCAGAGTGTTCTCTGAGTAAAGCTCATTGCTACAGGAAGCTACAGATTCCTTCCATTGCTTTAAAACATGCCCTTGGTTTAGAAATATCTTTCTTCAACCTTCATCCTGGAAGTAAAGAAGTGAGTGATGTAGCTGATGTTGAAGTACTTAAGGCTTTGGGTAGTTTTGCGTAGCTATTCTTATCCACTGTATTAAGAGTAACCAGAATCCAGGAGTTAGTAAAATGGAAACCGTGGCTATTTATAGGAGCTCAGGAAACTGAAATCAGATGCCGAATCAAGCAACTGTTTTCATCTAACTATGAATGGTTATCTTTATGACATACTTTTTCTTAAATAATGAAGATGGCAACATTTGATACTTGTTGCTAAAAGGACTCGCTTGTAGGCAGGTTGTAGCAGCTGAGAAGTCTGGCTCGGCTCGGAGGCATCAGTGACTTGCACGCTCTTGCACCAGGTCGTGTTTTGTACTGAGGTATTGGTGTGACTGCAGCTTTTGTTTCTCTTTCACAGTTAGCCTACTTCTATCAGAGAAAAGGCTGGAAGACTTGTTTGATATGTGCAGACACATACAGAGCAGGTAAAGAAACAAATCATTAATGACTATTTGTATTATCTCCAATATTTGAGGATTTTTAGATCATCCTTTGACTCTGTCTTACAGGTGCTTTTGACCAGTTAAAGCAGAATGCCACAAAAGCAAGAATTCCCTTTTATGGAAGGTAAGCATCTTTCACAGTCAAATTGGCGTTTGGAGCCCGTTTTGATGTTGCCTAATTATTCAGATATTAATATAACAGTTGCTCTGTTAAGGCAACCACTGTACTCTGTCTAGGTCAATGTGCTGTTGGCAGTAGTAGACGGTAGGGAGAGTGTAAGAATAGCTCAGACTCCTCGGGATGATTCACTGGAATGTTCTCGTATCTTGCTGCAGTTACAGCAATTACCTGACCAGGTGACACATGCAGATTTTTAGGAAGTCGTCCATGTAGCACCTTCACACATCAAGGAATTGTTTGAACCATTAATTTTTATTGTCAAGTAGGGGCAGCAGTGGACCTAAGACAGTTCTTGTATATCAGTAAATCACTTTGCTATATTTTACTGAAAATATGCTGATTGGGTGCTCTGTGGTACCTTATCTGAAGGAAGGGTTATCAGGGGCTAGATCAGCCTTCAGCAAGGAAGAGGGGTTAAAGTACTTGGTGTTTCAGTTCACTAGATATTAAAAGCAAATTGCTTAGGAAGTTGTGGTTTTGCTTAAGCAGTTGTCTTGACCTAGGAGAAAGTCTACCTTGAAATTTAGGTGGATTTGTAATTAACAAGGTTTCAGTCAAGGAATGAAAGGTTTCTTTGGGAGCCAAGCTTTGCACATCTGTTAATGTTTCTCTTTGCTTTTGGTCAGTTACACAGAAATGGATCCTGTAATAATTGCCTCGGAAGGTGTGGAGAAGTTTAAAAATGAAAACTTTGAGATAATCATTGTTGATACAAGCGGACGTCACAAACAGGAAGACTCTTTGTTTGAAGAGATGTTACAAGTTGCTAATGCCATAGTGAGTAGTTTCAAGAAATACAGCAACTTCTGTGGCAATTTGGCTACAATTCATTGTTCATCTCCAAATGTTCTGCGTAGATTTGTTTCCTCTGGCACGTGTCAAAACGTGATCTCTGGAATATAGTAGAAATAATGGACTGAATATTTAAACGTACTCATGCAAACATGACTGACAAACTAAGCTGCATGATTGGTGCTTGATAGTTCTATACCAGTTTTAATTCTTGATTCTATTAATTCAAGGTGCCTGCATATAGCTGGACTCTAGGTACTGCTTTAACTTCTCATTTTGCTGATCTCTTGCACTGACAAACAACAAAAACTTTGAAATTCTGTAGCCAAGTGTATTACCAAGGTTTTTGTGCCTATCATGAATACTTGCCTTAAAACAGAGCAAATTATTGGGTAGCTTTCAGTAGTTTGGATATGTAAATGAAGCTGAAAGTTTTTGCATGAGTTTAGAAAGTCTGACGAGCTTGTGATTCCGTGCAAAAGAGTGGGACGTTTCCCACACTACTCTTGTTAATAAATAACTTCCTTTCAGAGGAGTGCGACGTCTTGAACTCTCAACAATTAAAATAAATGGGAGTGTTTTTTGACATTTATTGCTCATAGGTACTAATGAGGTTATTGGCTCAGATGCTGGCCAAAGTGAATCAAAGCAAAACCAGTAACTGTTAACCTGTAAAATTTTCTATGCTGTGGATTCTTTGAGAAATATTAATACAGCATAAGAACTTGTAAAGGTCCTTAGAGAATATGGCTTAAAAAGCACAGATGTTATGTTTTGAAGCATGTACAGCTCTTACAGAATCACAAAATTCTGTGCAGTGCAGAACTGGCAGGGACTGGAGATCATCTTATGCAGCCCCCCAGCTTGAATAGTGTCAGCTCCAGCAGGTTGCCCAGGACCATGTCCAGGCGGGTTTTGAACATCTCCAAGGATGGAGATTGTACAAGATCTCTGGGCAGCCTGTTCCAGTGTTACCACTCTCCCAGTGAAGTGTGTTCTTGTATTCAAGCAGAAAATGTGCTAACATTCCTGCACGCTCCCAGTTCTTTCATTAAGTTCTGCACTGAATGTGACATATGAACAGTTTAGGAAAGCAGAAAACAATTACTCTCTTTTTTAATTCCAGCAACCGGATAACATAGTTTACGTGATGGATGCCTCCATTGGCCAAGCTTGTGAAGCTCAAGCTAAAGCTTTCAAAGATAAAGTAGACGTAGCCTCAGTTATTGTCACCAAGCTTGATGGCCACGCGAAAGGTGGTGGTGCCCTTAGCGCGTAAGTACTGTGGCTTGGCAGCCTGGGCGGCGCGTGCAGTTGGACAGATGAGACTCTCGTGAAATGCGTTACTGCCTCACAGAAATCTATTCCATGAGCATTACTGTAGTACTCTGCAGAATGTAGGGATTGAAATCTGAAAATCATGTTTTTATCCAACTTCTGGTGGCCCTATTGATATTTAACATCTATCAGATTTGGATCTTGTGATATATTTTCAATGTTACGTTGTGGTTGTGATGCATGTAAAACCTCTGTCTTCTTAGAAAAGCATTGGAAATGATTATTTACATTACATCTTACATATTAGAAATTTGTATTAAAAAGATAAATTTGRACTTAATAATGTGGCTAATCTGAAAAGTTTGCTGCTTATTTAATGCCCCAGGGGCATTAAATTAAATTAATGCCCCTGGGGCATTAAATAASGGGAAAAACTGTAGCATGTCGCATCTAATGGCCCTAAAACTGTGATGTTGACCAAACTTCTGGGTGGTTGATGACTAGTGACTTAGTCTTTACTCACACTTCCCTAATTTTTCTTCTTCCTTGTTTCGCTTCTCTTGTGCTGTGCTGTATCTTGACACTCTTCCCTGTTCGGTAATGGTTGTGTTTTATCTTCAACCTTGTATGATGACATGTTATTTCTAGCTGCATTCAGATGATGCAGCTTGTATGGAGACAAGATGACTTGACAAAATAGTCTAATTAATCTGACACCAGCTTGTTAAATCACTGTCTGATATTAAATGTTGATCTTAAGTGCTGGAGTTCTTTAAACTGCCATCTTCATTTTGCTGCTGTTGTAGAAGTGATGGAAAAGCTAAACCTAGGAGTAAAGTATAAATGACAAGTGAGCTTCGGGTATCATGAGTTTGCATACATTAAGAAGCTGCTATACTTTCTATAGATAGACTGGAAGCAGAGTTAATCTAATAGCTGCTGCCAGTGATTGAATCCTCAAAAGTTTTGGGTTTTTTTCCCTTTTTATTTCTTTTGTAGACAGCATAAGCTGTTTTGCTGTATTAAAAATGAGATTGCTGTTTGTGAGAGGAACCAAGAATAAAAAGTACTCAGTGCCTGTCTCATCCCAATACTACAGTTCTATCTGTCCCAATTTTAGGGGATGACCTTTTTATCATGTTTAGGGGACATGACCTTTTTAACTTTCTTTCTGAAAATCAGCAATGAAAATGAGGAGCTTACATTTCAGTAGATCATTTTGGAAGCAGAATATAGTAGAAGCAGAGTTTGCATTTTTTTTGAAGTGCTGAATGTAGAAACTTGTCAGCTATTTTAGCTACCTATTCTGGCTTAAAATGACGAATGATTTGCCCTTGTAATTGAGAAGCAAGAAGGGTACTTCGGACAGCTTGCGTTGTGTTGGTGGTTCCTAGCTGGTGCTGTTAACTCAAAATCAAATTATGTTATTATTTTATTAAGTATAAAATATTTTTACTGCAGAGTTGCTGCCACAAAAAGTCCTATTATTTTCATTGGAACGGGTGAGCACATAGATGACTTTGAACCCTTTAAAACACAGCCTTTCATCAGCAAACTTCTTGGTAAGTACTGCTTATAACTGCACTTTCAAGACACTTGGAATTATAGAAAGTCAAAGTGTAGTACTTGTTTAATGACAACTTAAAAAGATGATTTTGTCTTCTAGGTATGGGTGATATCGAGGGATTGATAGATAAAGTAAATGAGTTAAAGTTGGATGACAATGAAGCGCTCATAGAGAAGCTCAAACATGGTAAGTTATTCCCTAAGCACAACCATGAGCCGGGCATGGTAGTTTCCTTACAAAATGTGTTCACCAAGTTACTTGTCATTATATGACAAGGTTACACAGACTAGCAGAGTTTAACAAAAGTGCATTGGTCTGTCTGCCTTGGATAAGTGTGGAAGTCAAGTAAATTGAGCTGTATGCCTTGAATCAGGCGACAAGTAGTGCTGTAATTACACATTTGCTGGCTTAAAAGAGACCATCCAGAGGGGCCATCCAGAATGATTTAGCTGTATTAGTGGTAGCAAAGAGGTTAATTTGTCCACTTAGCTATGCACTACAGTATTTACCCTCTTTATATGAACAATAATAGCGGAGAAAGGACAGTAATACTTAAAGGTTAGCGTGACCTTTGCTAACTTTATTTTTTTTTGTATTTCAGGTCAATTTACATTAAGAGATATGTATGAACAATTTCAGAACATCATGAAAATGGGACCATTCAGTCAGATCTTGGTTAGTTATCCACAAAATGTGTTTTATTTTATCAACTTCTCATTTATATTTGAAGAACTTCCAAAAGCAGAGAAATCTATTTGTCTACGCTGTGATATATATCTGCTGAACTAAAACTTGCTGTCTACATTTTTGGCTGCCTAATTCAAATTAGTTTTGCATAATCTGACCCAGCTTTTGTTTTACCTTTTAAAACTAGGGTATGATCCCTGGTTTTGGAACAGACTTCATGAGTAAAGGCAATGAACAGGAATCAATGGCAAGGCTAAAGAAATTGATGACTATAATGGACAGTATGAATGACCAAGGTAAACCAAACTTCCAACTGCTCTTTTTTTTTCCCCATTTTGAACAATCCTATTTACAGAGATGCTCTTGGAAACAAGTTAGATGTTTATAATGATGGACAACAGAGAGGAGTAATCACTTAAATGGCAAAGGGTACATGCATGATTCTATAGCTTAAACTTTGTGAATAAGTCCAAATATTTAGAAATGCATTGTGACAATTGAGATCCTCATGCTGCTGTTGTGTGTAGAACAGGTGAGATCTCAAGTGGTCTCTTCAAATTTTTGTAAAATGTATCTTGCCTCTTAAGTTTTCAGCTTGCAATATTAACTTGCACATTAAAATAGTTGCATTCATCTTTTGCTGAGTACCATTGTCTTCCTACTCCTCATCAATCTGCTTTAGCCAGTAGTGTAGTCTGCTCCCTGGAGCCCAAGGTGTGTTGTGTCTTAACTGACACAGCAGAACTTGCAGGAGAAGCAGCACATTYGCGCTGTTTTGCTAAAGCCCTTAATTTAGCTTGCACTGAGTAAACTGAGAGCACAATTAGCTCTGATTTTTCCATCATGATGATTAACCTAGGAAGGAGCTCAGCATTTAAGTGCTCTTCCCATTAAAAAATTGTACTTCAGTTATTTCTGTGCAATGCTGCATTGTCTTTTCTAAAACTAGATCTGTATTTTAAGGAGCTGAGTCTAAACTAAGCTTTGTACTCTGAATCCCAGCAAACATGTTCTTACTGCTGTCAGGTTATAACAGATGTTCAATGTTCCATTGAATAGTTTTTTTCTTTCCTACGCTAACTGCAGAACTCGACAGTACAGATGGTGCCAAAGTTTTCAGTAAACAGCCGGGAAGAATCCAAAGAGTGGCCAGAGGTTCAGGTGTATCTACCAGAGATGTTCAGGAGCTCTTGACCCAATACACTAAGTTTGCACAGATGGTGAAAAAGATGGGAGGTATCAAAGGACTTTTCAAAGGTAAAAAGTAAAACACTCTGTGGAGGTGACTTGCAGTGTGAACAAAGGRAAAAATAAAATATGTGTATTAGGTGCTGGGGGAGGAAAGGGGGATGTGTTTCATGGTATTTTAAAACTCTTGAACTGTTAAGAGCTATACTGTTCTTCATGCTGCTAATGTATAACTGGACAGGGAATGCTGTATTTTTGGTTTTATCAGTGGCATTCAAACTGGGGGACAGGGATTGTTTCTCTTTAAAAATTACTAAGGGTAGTAAAGGTATAGTAACTTTTGATCATTGACTTGAATGGATTTGAATGCAGGGTGAGCATGTAAACTGCTTCCAGTTTTAGTCCTGTATGTTAACCTATTTGTGTGGGTTTTTATGGTTTTGTTTTTAAGGTGGTGATATGTCAAAGAATGTAAACCCATCTCAGCTGGCCAAACTGAACCAACAGATGGCAAAGATGATGGATCCACGAGTTCTTCATCATATGGGTGTGTGTTGCCCTTTTACAGCTTCAGGAAGGGATTACCAAGCAATGACAGTGGTGCATTTAAAATATTACACAAGTGAAGAGTGCAGTTTGATTCTGTGAGGTGTTATATATCAGTATTAAGTATTTTTAGCTCTTCTAAAGGTACTCAGAAAACTGGGCTTGCCTGTTAAGAATGCATTGCACTTACCACTGCCTCTGGCCTCTTTACTAGGATTAATCTCTCCACCTCGTTGGAAAGTTTTTGCACTTGCATAGTATTCAGATTATATGTGCTACAATGACACTGCAGAAGGAGCATAGCTGTGCTTGAGGGTTAATTAACACATTTAATTATCACATGTATGTTCTCCCTTTTCTGCAGGTGGCATGGCAGGATTGCAGTCAATGATGAGACAATTTCAACAAGGTGCCGCTGGGAATATGAAAGGCATGATGGGATTCAATAACATGTAAAGAAGCCTTAATAAAAATGGACTTGGTTGACAGTTTGTTGCAACTTCAGTGAAAGGATTTGCTTTCTTCCTTTTTACAATGATGGGGGAGTGGTGTTTTGAAATCTTATTCAGGCTTCTCAGTTTCTACATCTAATTTCTGAAGATTATTTTTGCTTACATTAGTTTCTCTCCACTAATACCTGATGGCACAAAGAGTATTTCAGTTTAATAAAACAAAATCATGATGTAAAATTTTAATATTTAGAGACACTTGTAAATTGTTTGCATCAAATGGCAGCCATTATATTTGTAAACAACCCTGAGCTTTGGTTATAGTAACATAAAATGTCACAAATATACTGTAAAATAAAAGTGGTTATAAATAAAGGAATAGCCTTTTTTTCCAGTTCTTTCATAGYTACACTTTTTTAGCATGTAATGAGACTATTTTCTTATTGAAAAAGACTGCTGTTTGACATGTTTTTAATTACTGCTATGGCTAATGCTTGACATAGATGCTGAACTATTGCCATAGTATTTAAAACTTGGTGGCCCTGCTGCTCAGATTTTCTCAGTGGAGCATTTTCAGAAGGCACCCAGTTTTTGGAAATTATTGTTCTGCAGGGCTGTATCCTTCTCTCCTGATTCTTTAGGTGTTAAGATACCCGTGTACCCATATGACTTCTGTATCTTTGGTATATGTGCCAACATGATAATTTTCATAACTGCTAATTAAGCAGCTGTTTTTCTGTGAAGATGACAAAGTCTGAAATACATGGTAACTAAAATTCTGTTCCTTTACTGAGCTTTCATACTGAAGAGCCATATAGAGTTGTACATGACAGACCATATTGTTCCCAGTTCATCTTAATTTCCTATAAAATTCTTGCTGCTATTTCAGTCCACAGAATTTTCTGTCTGAAGCAGGCAGAATCTACAGGCAAATTTCAGAAAATGGGGAAGATAACACATCAGATTTCATGATACTGTTAGAAAATACTTTAAGATGGTTTGTCCTGATGTTAAGCAAAGAGGGTGTGTTCAACTCTTCTTTGTTGAATTCTGGTATGCTCAGTACTACCTGGCAGATTGGTAAGACTGACTATGTTGTCCATTGCTAAGGAATGTTTCAGATTTGTCTTTTGGTCTTTGTTTGATAATAGGGATTTAGATGCATGATAAAAAGTATAAGATTCTGAAAACTGCAGGATGATTTTTCATATTGTGACATGTAATAATCATTCACAAAATAATCATTTTGAATATACTTCAGAATACTTGGGCTGTAAATGAGCACTCATTTCTGTTGCTTAGATAAGGTATCAAATATGGTAATTAAAATGCATAGAAATTGCTAGCAACACTTTTAGTCTTTTAGGGATGTCATTCACCACAATGCAAAGTAGTTTGTAAAAGGATCACTTAATTTGATTTTTTTTCTTTTTTTTTAGTATTTTAAGTTAAAGATATTGAACTCTTGCATAGCATGAGTTTGTGGGAGCTGCCCTCAGTTACTGCTCAGCTGAAACTGCAGTTTACTGAAACTGCTTATTTTATTTTTTGCTCTTTTAAGGTCCTTACAGGAGCAAGAAGACGACTGCAATACACAGAGCAACGCTGCAAGTAGTGAGAAATAAATTTTGTGTTTAAGGATACAGTTAGTAGGGGAGAGTGGATAGTTAACTTGAATGTCCGTAATGGAAATCAAACACAGAGAAAGGCATATTGAGGATGAACAGTGATCCACTGTGCTTCTGTGCAGGCTTGATCAGAGGCTGCCAGCTTATCAACAATTAACTCTTTAATTCATTGCACAATAATTTTTAGTGCTTAATTTTAGTGTGTCATTCTAGTATGTGGCTGCTCGTAGACAGGAAGACAGCTGTCATGAGCTGCCTGCCTGGGTAAAGGCCAGTTTGGAAGGCATTTCCTTAAAAGTACCAGATAACTGTAATGTTACTTCACAAGCACACCCCGGTGTAGACAAACAGCAGCCTCGTGCTCACCGGGGCCGTGCAGGTGCTGCCTTTCCTGCTGGGCAGCCTCAGCGCCTGCTTGCAGCAGCTGCCTGAAGAGCTGGACTGCAGCCGCAGAGCGGGTCTGGGTTTGTACTGCAGGGGAGCTCAGCTGGAGCGCTCCGTGCCTTATACAAGAGTAACGTTTTGTAGGGCGTTTTGGAAATATTCAGTGATGTTTAGACCTCACAGAGCGCAGTCTCTGTGTACAAGAAAACCTTAAAGCTGTTGGGAGAGAACTGAAGTTGTCATGTCCTGTGTGTTCTTTCATTTGGGATTCTGATTSAGAGACTTGTTGCATGAAGAGCAAGGTGAGCAAGTGTCAGGAATAACAACTCTCCTTCTTGAGCTGTTTGCTTGGGTTAGGTCTCTTGTATCTTGCCCTGTGTTGCAGAGAAGATTCTTTGGCACTAAAAAACCTCATGGGAAGCTGAAGCACTGTGAGATGGAGGTTGATCTTTCCTGCATAAATTGCATGACTTGAAATGAGGAATAGCTGGGGGGGGCATGGCTCTGCGCACAGTGCATCTCACCACRTTTGTGCAGAGGCTCTCTAAGCAGGTGCTTCCAAAAGGTGACATGGAAGTTTTGACCAGCCTTTTCTCTGTTTTGCTGTCTGGACAAAATGAGTAAATGTCAAATTTGTTGGGAATTTGAAATGAGCAATGAGTTCAGTCAGGTAATTGTAGTAGTGCCTAGGGAGAGCCACTAGAAGGAGCTAACATACAAAATAAGCTCAAGTCTTCTTGTTTCCTTTTTTTTTTTTTTTTTTTTTTTTTTTTTTTTTTTTTTTTTTTTTTTTTTTTTTTTTTTTTTTTTTTTTTTTTATTTTTTTTTTGTAAAAACCTGAAGGAATTGGCTATCTAGTGCTTACTAAACTTTGATAGGAACCAGTTGCCTAATTTCTGCAGGCTTTCTTTATAATCTAAGTCACATTTTTTTTTTTTTTAGCAGTTCTATATCAGAATTGTATTTCAGAATCAGTTATAGTCTGTCATCCTTTTTTTCCTTTGGTTATAGTTTGTTAATAAGCTTTGAAATGCATGTGCTCACCTGTGCAAACTAATGCAGAGGCGGGGAACTTGCAGGCTTATTCTCTGGAAGAAGGTGGATGTAAAGCTGTTCACTCTGAAAAGGTCCCAGCRGAAGACCTTGATCTTGCCAAAGGTTGGACAGATCCAGAGGATGGTTCTCAGCTCGGGAACTGTWGGTGCCTATTTTTGTTGTAGTTGTTTTTCTCCTCTTTATTTCTCTTAATTTGCTGCCTTTTTAGGCAAAGCTATAGCCCTCACATGGCATGGCTACTCTTTTGCCACAACACACAGTATTTATTTGCTGATGATGGTCTCTCTACCTTTCCTCAGCACTTTCCGTATTGACACTTGCCAAATCCAGAGCGGAGACATTTAGCAGCGCTGATGATTGTGAAGGATGAGGCTCAGGGTAACTGCTCGGTTGCTCTCGCTGCCCACAAGAAGGGAGAACAGCTCGGCTGGCGGCTGATTCAATATTGACTTTAATGGCTGCTAAGGCCTTTCAGTGGGTGCTTGCTAAGTAGGGTTTTGAATGGTCACTAAGGAGGAGAGGTATTTATGTCCTTAAACGACACCGCTCCTTTTCTTTGCCCTTTTAAGCAAWGTTTCTTCCACCTATAAGACAGATATTTAAGGATCAAAGGTATCAAAACCAGTATTTTAATTGCTGCCGAGTGTTTCTATAACTGCATTTTGATGGTGTATTCTGTGGAGTACTGTGGCAACTAGCTTCCTAAGTCATTTTCCTACGGGAACTGTTTTCCCGCCCCGGGCAGTGTGCGGTGCCGCGGACACGGGGCTGCGGAGCTGCGGGCTGGGCTCMCTGCGCGGCTCCCCGAGGCTGCCCTGCCTGCGGCCGCCCTGGCTCCCTGTTTGTTAGGGCAGCCCTTTCCTCCCTTCTCCTCCTTTGTTTCTCCCCCTCCGCAGGGTGCGGGCTCTGCGGCCCTGCTCTGCGCGCGGGCCCAGCCCTTCCGCGGGGCGGGAGGAGCGGCCCGGCCCGGCCCGGCCCGGGGCGGGAGGCG